TGATGACAAACCAGCAAAGAAAACACACAAACTCATGTAACCATAGCTGTATGTACTTATAATTTTTATTTTCATTTTAGCCTATAATCCTGACTGAGGTTCTGGCATACATGCATTGTCTTTGTGTCCTCCAGCTCATCATCTACGTTCATTCAAATAAATCAAAAAGAAAATAAGTGGATGAAAAGGAGTGCTGTACTCCATCTGAGTGCAGTAAGTTGGGGTTTTTTTTAAGTCAGAGACATTCATGTAAAAAATAGAATGCACATGGTTTTATTTCCCAAAGCTCATTCCCCACCAACAGCATAGAATCTGCTTTGTTGATAGCTATTAATCCAATCCATGAGGATAATAAACAAAACTTTTTACATATACAAAGTTCTAACCGCCAAGTCCCAGTTTATTACCAGGTTTTTTCTTTCAAAGGATGGGAAGGGTTCCTTAGCATAAGGAAAAAATCATATCTTTGAAATTTTAAGCACACTTTTTTAAGCACTATATCACTCTGAGTGACTGAAAACCTCAAAAAAGAAGAGGTTAGCACTGCTACTAGTCCTCCTACAAGTGCCCTCCAATCTCCTGTGCCCAAAAGCAGTACAGATCCTGAAAACATAACATTAACCTACTGTCTATCCATTGAAAACTGACCTCAACAAGCAAGACTTTAGGAACAGAATTCAAAAACAGGACACAACTTACTCATGACAGAAAGTTATTTTTTAGTTTATAGCAGGTCACTCACCAGATTCTTTTATCTGTTTGTCAATAACAAGAACAGCAATATTTGACTGACCCTGAGAGATGAGTGGCAATAGGGATGCCATGTGGCAACAAAGGATTCTAAATCTGAGGGTCAGTTGATGGATGGGGGAGAAAAATCTGAAAAACTGAGGTGCATAAAGAGTTCTGCATCGCATCAAAATTATTGAGAACTGGACATGAAGGAGACAACAATGGAAAAGTAGGTGATTCTAGACTATTTTTGTTGTGACACAGAAGAGGAAAAATACATTGATTTCACAGTGAAACATTTGAGCAATAAAATAATGAGTGTGCCTAGCAGGCAAAGCCTTTCTAATTTGCCTGGCCCAAATTATGAGAACATATTTTTGGCCTGGCCTATACCACAAAATATGAGTAGGATTAAGTGCAGCCAAAGTAGCTGACAAGATGCTGGAGCAGAAGAGAACCTTCCCACAGAGACGAGAAAGTTGGGGTCAGCACTGGATTAGCTGACACACAAACTGCATCTCGTGTTCCAGGGGTTTAATCACTCCACTTAAACCTATCAGCATGCAAAAGTAGCAACAGAAAAAAATGTAAACTCTTTGTCATAGCTGGCTTTGGCAACTAAGTGACAAAGAATGACTCAGTAATATTTCTTATTTCTTTCCCATGTATGAAGCTTTTAGAGAGCACTCCTCCCTTCTTATTCATTTACATCTAGATAAAAATTTGTGTAGTCAGAATTGTTACAGTTCTAACAGTTTGGTGGTAAGATATGTTAAATAAGCTATTTTTTCAATGTAGGAGCCCAGGGACTTATACACCTACAGCCACAAAGGATAGGGATCCACTCCTCCTGAAACCAACACTGGTTTATCAAGTTCTCCAACAGAAGTAGTAAACACTGAAGTGAAAAAGAACTGATCCAACTCAAAATTATAATAGCCATAGAAGATTTTGTTCTTTTTCTTAAAGACCACATGCACTAAAACACCGAGAATTTTTAAATTCCTTTACATCTGATGAGGCGAGGGAAGCAGTTGTTAGGTACAGGATTTTTTTAGATCTACATTTTCCTTCAGGTCCTCACATGCTCTTGCATAAACATTTCCTGGCTCAAGATTGTGTTTGCTCACACCAAAGTTCTTCCACAGACGCTTTTACTTCCTGCTGCAAGGAAGGGGGAGGGAAGGCAGCGTGCAGTGTAGCACCATTTATCCTCTGCAGACAAGGCTTGATTTAGAAAAGGACCAGTCACAACTTGCTGGGAACAAGAAGCCAAATAAATTATTTTACTGTTTGATTATCCACATCATTCAAAACCTGTGTCAGTGGCAATTGGCTTGCTTCCTGTCATGCTGGGACCTGGGTTGCACAACAAGTTTGTCTCGCAGAGAAATGTGAGGTTTCTGGAATTCAAGGCTCCTGGAACTGCTAGTTTTCAAAAATTTTGCCTTGGACGGAGCACCTTAACTCCTCCCTGTTCTCTAGCACAGCAGCTAAAATGGAGCCATCCTGCTGCAGCCTGTACAGCCAGCAGCCTCCCTAGGGATCCCCCACACCCTTCCCCTCACATTAATGAGCAGCTAACTAACAAAGTAAATGGAAATAAATTAGCAACAAACTTATTCTGATAGATGTCAAGGAAGAAAAGAATTCCAAAGAGGAATTTAAACAGGGAAAAAGATATATGAGCTCAGCAGTTCATTGTTAGAAAGAGTGCTTGTGTAAGACACCACATTAAAAAAAATAAAAGTTCTTATACAAAAGGCAAAAGACTTCTTAAAAAAAAAAAAAAAAAAAAGAAAGAAGTCTCTAAGGCTTGCACCACTAATGGAACTGTGAGGAGGGATGAAAAATGTCAGCATTATCTCTGGCTCAGGAAGTCCCAAAACCATGATTGAGTAGAAGGTAGGAGAGTACACCAAGAAGGGATCATTACGTGCTTGACATTTTCTTATACTCTACCCCAGGCTGCTGTCAGAAACAGGATACCCAGCTAGACAGATGTTTAGTCTGATCCTGTATGACTGTTCCTCCTTTGTGATAGTAGTAAGACATAAATGTGGATAGGAAGAAAGTTATGCGCAACTCAGGGATCACATGAAACTTGGAGTTGATGCAAGCACAGCAGCTGACAGCGCAGAGATTCAAACCAAGGCGTGTCGGCTCTGGGCAGATTCTGATCACTATGGCCTTTCCCCCTGGGAGAAGATCATACTGTCCAAAAATCCTCCTCATAGATTTTAGGATTAATCTAAGGGCATCTTTGGAGTCAAACCACTTCCCCTATCCTCCTCTGGTCTTTCAATTACATATTTCATTCTTTAAAAAAAAAAATTGATCTTTCTGTAAATTATTACCTGGCATCATGCTGTTCCAATGTGGACATTTTCTGCATTGCTTTCTTTAGGTCTCTGCAAGAAAACAAGTCTTTCCAATGCCACCAGTCTCTCTGATACACAAGTCAAAACTTATTCTCAAACTACAGCATTCATTATCCTGCCATCAAGTATTTGGGAAATCAAGCAGATATACAGAGAAATTCTGCAACATAGTGACAAAGTCACAATGTCAACCATCATTTCTAAGTTGCACACAGATGGCCCAAATCATCACAGTTCAAATACAGCTGGAACAACTCCTAGTCAGGAAGCGTTTTACTTCCTTCTTTACTATAGACTGGAGTGAAATAAGTAACAACAGTCACAAGAAATTTTCTTTCAGCACAGCCATCAGAAAGACTACCTCTTTTTGCTCCTGGCCATTTAAATTCATGCTCTTTCAGGAAAGTTTGCTAAAGAAACTGTGTCTAGAAAATGTTATACAACAATTGTAGCAAGTAGCCTATAGAGCAGCTTATTTGCTGTGACAAATTGCACAGAGCATGCTGCACACCAATACTCCATATTCTCTTCTGGGTCACTGAATTGATTCTGGTTCAAATCCCTGACAAACCATTTCATCTGTAAAGACATTCAAGGACCAGCACTATTTTCTTTTGCTAGCCCAGCATAGCCTCTACTCCAGGAGCTAGGGTGGCCTGCAAGGCAATACACGGCATGGATACAAGCCCACCCAGACATTTCCTGGGTGAATATCTAGCTACCAAAATTTTTTGTAAAAGGGAGCTGCTCCATTTTTCAGGCAGCAGCAGCAGCTGCTGTCACTGCTTTTCAGGAGGAGATGAAGCTGCTCAAGGATATTGTGTGCTCTGGGAACAGATCAGCTGTCCCAGGCAATTCTGATCCCATAGCATCTGCTTCCTGCATCCCAGTCAAGCTGCCAGAGCAGGGAACAAGCTCTGCCCCACAGAGCTGGTTTGGGCCTTGGCTGCACCCACCATGGAACAGGAAAGCTGCTCATGGCATTTAGGTGTCACCTGGGCTGAACTGCAGTTAAGGAGGCACCCTTAGAGTCACCGTTTTGGACTTAAAGAGCTTATTATTCCAAATCTCAGGTTAAAGAAAGGTATGTTCAGTGGTTTCTCTCAGCAGTATCATACACTCTACAAATTTATTGTTCAGCTGACATAGAAAATTACTTACTGGTTGCGTGCACCATAGCCTGATCCCCAAGATGATTCTTCAGGATAGGTAGACAATATGTGAAATAATTAGAATGGAATGATTTTCACTGTGGAGGCAATCCTCTCATTTCACTTCAGCCATCTTTTAAAACAGCATCTCTTTCATAATGCAGAGGTGATTTGGTGACAGTACCAGCTTAAGCAACAGCTTCAACAAGGTCAGACCCAACACTTAACAAAAATACTCATGAACAAAGTTTAAAACAGGTGGGGCAACTGGCCAGAAAGCAATATTTTATCTCTGTTCTTATAACAGATGAAACATAGACAGGTAGCTTAAATTAGAGAGCAAGATCCATGTGTTTATATTATAATAATCAATGTTGCCTTTCACCAGAAGAAATAATACACATGCAGAAGGATTTCTTTAAAGATAATGCACTTTAATTACATTGGTATACATTTAGTTAACAGCTATAAACTTTTTCTGTTTTGGGACTCTTGCAGACTTGCACAAAAAGCTAGGTACACCAGATTAGATTCACACTATATTAAGAAAAAGAGAAGTTCTCAGAACAGCAATAGAGGTGTTTCATTTACCTTACTCTACACTGTCTATCAAAGTAACACTAGCTCTTATTACTAAGTAAAAAATATATATGTGTCTATTTAAAGGGGAATACAGAGATGAATATTCTGTTATTACAAAAAGGTTAAAGATTTCCATCAATCTTTACATATTAAGGAGTGCTTATAATTTCTATTTTAATGCCCACCCCAGTCATAACTTATAACAAATGGAAAACCACAATTAATCTGCTACCTCTCTAAATAATATTTCAGTGACTTTGGTTTAAGAGCTTTTAGATCAATTGTCCCTCATGATTGAATCTGTGTTTCAACAGGAAAAACTTTACTGGGGTGGGCAGTAAGGAGGTGACTTCCACTAAACCTGTAATCCTTGACAGTGACACTGAGCAACAACATTTCATTGCTCTCCGACACCAGATGAGAAATCACTTTCTAATTAAATGGGAAAGTAGCACATATATGAGGTAACAGCCACCTTCTGAGTGGGGAAGTAATACCATTTTCTCATTTTTCAGGGTAGGTCTGCCCTGCTTTTTTAAAAGAAGACACTTTAAAAAAGATGACCTTGGAAGGATTTGCTATGTATGGCATATAGAAACTGCTATTCCCAAGACTCCACAGCTCCTAAGTGTTTCAAAAAACATACACAGAAGAATGAAAAAAACAGACAGGTGACAACAATGGCATCAGCAAAATACCTTATGCCTCACTCAAGTATTTTGTATTCAAGGCACAAGTTACAACTCATAAATTTCATTAAATCTACCTAATTTATACCAGAATCCATTGCCTCTTTGTATTTCAAGGGAATAGAAATACATGAGAGATTGTGGACAAAAGTGATATTTCTTGTAGGAATAAAATCCAAACAGAAAAAGAGAGAGACTTAGGCTTAATCTTCCTTATTATTTGATAAAAAAGCATTTTCAGAGTAAAGGTACAAGTTATTTATGGTTTTGATCACTCCAGTACACTGTTCCATACCTAAGAGTAGAAAATGTTTCAAATATTTAACAAATCGGGGCTAATTATACAGAATAATTGAATCCTTAATATAAAGCCTGAGAGACTTTATTCTTCTAACATTACTTGCTGCTGATGTGAATACCATGAGAAGAGATAAAACCACAGACCTGTTAATACAAAGAAGACAGTTGAAAATTACTTTCAGTTTTGAGAAAAACACTAGGCTCTGAATATAAGTTTAGTAATTAAAGTTCAATTTTTCCCCCAAAAAAATGTTACTTTAATTACTACTTTTTTATGCCAAGTGTCTGCTTAACTTAGGAGAAGAAATGACTTGTTATTTGAAGCATTGCCTACTAGAAATAAGAGTTACTCAAGGGCAGTGTTTTATTGATAAAGCTTTTTTCTTAATAATCATATGTCATAACATTTCACAGGATTCATGAGGTTCATATTTTTTCAAAGGCAGAAACAACTGGAAGTTCTGATCTGAAGCTAACAAAAAACCCTGAAGCATTGTCAAAAGTTGGAGTCATTTTTGCATTTTAAACCCTAGATATAGTAAAAGTCAGGTCTTCATAAAAGTAGGAGAGGTTATTTGTTACCATAAGAGCCACCATTTTTAAACTGTTATGAGTATTTGCATACATTTACATGCACTGAAAGCACAGCCATTCAGAACAAACAAGGTTCATTATGAAGACAAACATGCTGAGTATGACTGACTGACAATCCACACAATGGCTGATTTAAACTTTACATTCACCAACCATTTTTCTGAGCAGGAGGAGGAACAGCTACGGATGCCTTGCATCCCTTCAGCCGCTTTTTATTTTTGATAAACCCTGGGGCTGCCTCTGTTAAGGTGAGAGAATACACTAAGCCCATTCAGCCTGCTGAAAACCCCTGCTATGGTCTCTGACTTCTAGCAGGCAAGCTTAAATGAATCTCTCTCAAGTAGAGGAATAGGTAGGAAAACTGGTTTATCAAAACACACACACAGTTCCCTTAAACAGTTCAACTTTAAGGCATGTCTGCATGCATTCCTACTGCCTGTGACAATAGTAACACTTCCTTTCAGCCTAATAGGTCCTGAGCCCCATCCTTTGTCTGCTGATTAACTGCTCTATTCATTGACCAGACCACTAATTGCATGCTCCTTATAGTTACCCTACATTACTGTAAGAATTAATGAGACACAATTACAGCTCCCAGAAATCTCAGGCCTAGCCAACTGCAAAGCACTCCAACTGAATAAGAACTCCCCAAGAATAAAGAGAAAAATTCAGCCCATTGTTCACAGGAAGCAGAATGTTTTTTGTTAAAAAATTGTATTTATTTGAAGCTGTTTCATAATTAGGCCCTGGAGAAAAAAAAAAAAAGGAAAAAAAGGGGAGAATAGAGAAAGGACTTGGGAACCAGCATTCAGTGAGAAATCACAGCGGATGCAGAGACGAGCACACAGTTCAGATATGAAGAGAAAAACATATAAGGAAGGAGTGCATAAAAAATTAGTGCTATGCACACTACAATCATCTATAACCAATCAGCTGCTTCAACAGCGCATGTCCCACTGTATGAGAATTACCACTAATGCAGCCTTATATTTGACAGCTTCAATCTTGAAAGATTTAAAATAAGCATATGGGAGCTTCTGCAGTCATGTCTCTGAGACAGAAGAAGAGGAATTTAATTTCCCACTCTCAGAATTTAATATGCAATAGAAGTCAGTGTCATTAGCCATGAAAGTCAAAATGAAGGACAGAAAATGAGTTTTTTGAAAATCACCCATATTGAAAACTGCACTCACATTTAATCTGTGTAATCAACAGCCACAGCTATTCAAAGTCTTAGTGACTACAATCACTACCTATTAGCCTGTAAGTAGTTCAAAAGCTATTATTCTCACTTGAACAATTTCCCAATACACAAGAGACTGCATTAAGTTAATGAAGTTAATATGCAAAGTCAATATTCTTTGTTATGAAGTCATCTTATTCCATTGGTTCCTCTTCAACTTATTTTCACCATATAAATTCGATTTAAATTACATGTATAGCTTGACAAAGCCACTGATCCTTAAAATAGAGCTTGAAATGCAGCACTGTACTTTACAGCCCTAGTAACCATTTTCCAGGGTACAATTTGTAGCAGCCACTGAGACCCCAAACTAAGCATGTCAGACTGCCACTGCTACATTCCAGAATCAACATCTTTGGGCAGAGACAACATTTTTTGTACGTCTCTACAGGGATTCTCAATAATTGCACCTAACTGCAGTAATAGTTTAAATTCATGGGAAATGGATGTTCTTCTGATATTATCACTCACTGATATCACAGCAGAACTCTTTCCTGCATGAAGCAGACAGTTACCACCATGAGGTGCTGAATCTCAAGCAGGAAACAAGGCACAAATATGGATCAGAGACCTTTGTGTTCAGTGTATAATAAGTCCAATATCCCTGTCATAGAACAGCAATCATTAACTCAGGGATCTTTTGTTAAATGGCCCCTGTGGCTGGACTGGTAACAGCAGGGATCGAATGTGCAATCCTCAAGACTGGATTCATCTGTCAGGGAGACTGCAGACCTGCAGATTCATGCATTTCCAAAGTGAGTCTCTAGGACTTGACATGAAAATACCAATTTCAATTAACCTTGGCTGATTAATCAACCTCAGTGCACAGGCACAGAGCTTACATTTGCAGATCTAACCCTGGCAGTATTATTTGAAATGGGCATTCCTCATGTCTTGAAAAAACCTTTGAGGAAAAAAGAAACCTTTGTCTCAAATAAAACATCACCTAGCTTGTTCAAGCTGTTCCTGTTTCAAGCCCCAAAATAGAACAAGTCTGAATTCCTGCAGAGTATAATGTGAAATTATTTCTACTAGTGCAAATAATGTATTCTGGTATCTGGTCCAGCCTTCATTTCAGATGTTATGAAGTAACTTAACCAATACAAAATATCCACACACTGGAGGTTAGCTGCAATTTCTAGTTGAGGTGTCTCTCTCTCTCCATAAAGAAAAAGGAGTCCTTGCTGCAAGAAACATGAGCCCACACTTGAGGGCATCAATTCTAAGGGAGAACTTCTAAATGAAAGATTATTAGAGGCATACGGGAGACATTGTAAGAGAAAAGGGAAGGTTTCAAGTGATAACCTGAGCTCACTCAAACCTACTTCCCTGTTCCACTACCAATTTCTTTAGAGCTACTTGTTACTTAGAGTAGTACATATAGCACCAGCAAAGGACAATCCTGATCCACCAAGTGTTCCCACATGCTTATTTATGCTGGAACTGATTCACCTAAGGAAAATTCCACTTTTGTACTTCCTATCCTTTAGTTTGTATGTTGCACATCATAAGCTTCACTACTAGGGAGCTCCTTTCCCTCCTTTTCATTGTTATATCTTGTTGTCATTATATTGCAAGGGTTCCATATTGCTAGAGTTTCATACCTCCTTGATGTTTCCTGTAGGCAGCTCCTCCTGTAGGCACCCTTCCTTCTTCTCACAGCAGTCAACTGACCCCAGCTCCTCTCAACCAACCAATCCACTCTTTTATATCACTCTTCTTATTGGCTACAGGTGTGGCCTGTTAAAATCAGGCCTGCTCCCAATCTCTAATAATTAACCCAGCTGCAACTCTTCAGATGGTAAGATTACAGTCTATACTACCTTTATTTACTTTTGTTCTATCCCCCTACAATATCTACCTCCTGCCCTCTTTTTCCTGAAAGTAGTTCAGCTAAGCAATGGTTTTGTCTGTACCGTCTCCTAAGTGTGGCCCAAAGGTATCCCCAAGACTAGACCATCAACAGGACAGATGCCAAACATGAACATTCAGGCACTGTCAGGAACTTGCAGCTGTAAGACAAGCCTAAAGGATGAACAGGAGACAGTGACACTGCTCTTAGAGCTGCTCTGGAGGTCATTCTTGGGAGCAAGGTAAGCATAAGCTATGATGTATTATCTCTGTGTGCAGTGATAAACTGGCACAAGAGTCGCTGAAGGATGAGGTTTACAGCTGATTTATACTAGAAAGATTAATATAGAAATTACACCAACAAGACCCTTCTTCTCGAGCAATCCACACCTATCCCTCAAGAGAAGTAAAAAGTACAGGTAAAATAATTCCTTATGCAGCTTCTGCACTGGGTTTTTTGCTGGCATAGCTATGTCAGCAAAAAATTCATATCCCTCCCTGACAGGCCTCCTTGAGAACACTTTCAAGTGCAAACCAGGTGTCAGTATTTCTGTTATGACAGAAAAAGAGTTCTACACTAGTCATGAGCTGAATGACCTTATTTGGCCTTTCATGACCTGGAGAAGTCCTTTCTTCCAAGGAGGTCAAATCCCATGAACATGTTCCACCAGCAGAATCTCTCATGACCACAGTACTGGTATGGTACTGTATTAACACATAGAGAGTAGAAGAAAATATACCAGTAGCCAACCATTTATATTCTGCATTTCTATGTAAAAATTATCTATTTACACTACATTAATGTCACAAAAAAATCCCATGAATAGGAAGCCCCAACAGTTCTATTTTAAAAAATTGCTGTGATTTTTGGATTTAGTCTAAAAATTGTTTGAAAACTACTAATCTCTGGACATTTCATGTGGTTATATTTGCCACTCAGATACGAATGGATAATTCTAAGAAGAGATTCTATAGATTGAATTCCTAGATGCTTCCCAGGTAGGTCATGGAAGAAGCCAACCAAGTACAAACATCTTTCATTTTTATCAGCCTCGTTAGGTAGAAAGTTAACAATATTGGTTTGAAAGCAGCTGGACAGCTTTAAAGAAAAGACAATTAAATGTATAAATCTATCACATGGCAAGGACTCCAGAGCTGAAGAGATGATTGGAAGAAGACATGCTGCCACAGGCAGTGTTGAAGAGGGTCCCTCAAGGATCACCAGCCTGTTCCTAACATAATTTACCATATTCTCTCCATCTCCAATTCAGTCACTCTCTGATCCTATAAGATTGTTTATGGAATATGTTTAGGCTGACAGAGCAACAAAAGGCCCTTTGAAAGCACCCCTCACTGGGTGGGGGGAATGCACAGGCCATGGTCCACCTGGAGTGCTCCTCAGTACAAACTAAGATGCTCTGTGATAAAGTCAGCATGAATAAAACAAAGTGTTTAT